GCCACCACTCGAGGACAACGGCCACTGGAAAATACAACCGAGACTGGAGCATCTCCTTGGCTGGCTGGTGGAGGACACTTAAAAATAAACTAAAAAAACCACTAAGATGGCAAATGTGGTGGCTGAGAGTCTCTAAAAACAAGAACCTCCCTTAGAAACAGCACTGCGGCCTCCTAGTAACCTTAATCACTCCCAACAGCCCCAAGAACCAGGTTTAATGACATGATTGTGTTTTGTTTGCTTTTCAGGCTGCTTTATCTCACACACCACCTTGCACTCAGCTCAAGCGACGAAAACCCAGTTCCTCCAAAATTTGCCCCCAGTTCCCCTGCGATCACAAGCTCCAGCTCCCAACACGGTGGGAGCTGAGCCGGGGAAGAGCGCTGTGCTGGCACGCCAGCATCCCACCACAAGAAACCCCCAGTAAAGCTGGGAAAGCTCTGCAGTGCCCTTTGCACTCCCCAGCTAGCAGGTCTGGGTGATAAAAGGCTTTTTTATGGCTCTTTTTGCCAGATTTACATCCCCATCCGGGCTATGCAAATATTGTTCATGACAAGGCATCACTCTGCAGGGTTAGGAAATGCAGAGGAGCCCTGGAAACCCAGATGGACATAGGGATGTCCCCAGGAATGCTCAGGTCCACGGCAAACTCGGCCAAACTTCACCCGTCTGTGAAACGGGGCCAACGCAGCTCCTCGGCAATTAACAAAAGCGCCAAATCCTGCGGATTTGGGTAAGAAGGTGACAACCGCAGTTACCACCTTCAGGAGCCTCCCAAGTGCCAGCACTGGGTGATGACACCCATCACAAGTCTCAGATCTATCACCGGTTGGTAATCTGTGTTTAAGAGTGTTGGTAAGAGTGCCCCCACCCTTCCCAAAGCCCAAACCTAGCACCTGGGGTCGATGTCTTTTGTTGCAGCAGGCTAAAATAAAGGGCAGTTTCACGGCAGCTGCCCCTGTTCGGTCTCACCGGGGCCACGGAGTGTTGCTGAAATTCAGTTGGGACCATTTCCAAGAACTAACCCTTGCGATTTACGCTCTCCTTGGGGTTTCCCTTCCCAGCTCCTAGTGCTTCAGCCACGCTCACCTGTCCTGGGACTCTTCTTCAGCCCAGAGGCTTCTCCTCCTCATCTTTCACTATGACTATTACCACTGAAATGCTCTATTTTCTCCAAGAAACAAACTCACTCTTTCTTAGCAAGCCTCCATTATGATGCTGGAGTAAAACCAGCCTTTTCCAGCTAAGCTCACCTGTCCTAAGGGTGTGAAATCACCGGAGGGGAATTCAGGCATCAAGGCAACACCAGCTCTGCCTTGGCTGACATCAGCTGGGCCTTGGCCTCCTGGGCACAATGAGATGCCACAAGCCAAGGGCTACGGTCCACGCACCAGCCCAGCTTCCCTGGGCACGGGATGCTCCCCTCCCAGGTTGGGGCTGCACTACAGGGGGAAGTTGCTCCCCAAGTTCCCGCACACAGGCTGGAGGATGCTGCCGGACACACGGACGCCCTCGGAGGAGCTGCGGCCAAGCCAGACCAGCTCCTCAGGCCATCTGAGTGCTTGCAGCTCCCGTTTCCAGCGACCGATACATTAAATATTAAGCAAAGAGAGTTAATCTATACCCAGGATATTGACACAAAGAGGAGGAGGGGAGAAGAAAAAGATAAATAAACATTTAAAAAAAAAAAAAAAAAATCAATGTGCCTCTCCAGGCTGCCACACCAGAACTTGCCAGACCTCCGAGCACGGCACCAAGGGTGCACTTGGAAGAACAAGATGCACCAAGAAGTGTTGCCCTCACAGCTCTCCCCAGGTAACTGGTGCACCCTGCTGGGATCCTCCGGTGGCTCGGGTGCAAGCAGGACCTCCTCGACTGAGGGCAGAGCCCTGGCCGGGGACAGGCTCACCTTGAGCTCACCTCTCCCAAGGTTGGGAGAGCATCCAAGCAGTGGCAGAGCAGACATCGATTTAAGAGGGTCAACGCTCAGTTAATGCTTACCAGGGCTGTTCTGCCACTTAAAATTGGCTTTTGGAGCTAGGGGAGACGAGCACGCTGGGATGGCTCACCCATCCTCGGCTCAGCGGCAGCCCACGCCTGGCAGGGCCAGCACCGGAGTGACCATGCCCCGCCGATCCCTCGGCACCGGAACGAGCCTTGTACAACCGGAGGGAAACGCCACCATTCATCTCCCAGCAAAACCGCTTTCAAGCATCACTCAACACCTCTCCAGCAGAGGAGACTGATATTTTTTTTCCTGGCTGAGCGCTCACATGTATATTATTTTTTTTAATTCCAGTCTCAGCGATCCCCTCCAACCCTCCGCTCCCCCCCGAAAGAAAACAAACCCGAAAGCACAGAGTGTGCCTTGCAAAAGTCCCGGCTCTGGCGTCCCACTGCGAAGGGGCACGTGGTGGTCCCAGCAGCCAGCCCGCCTCAGCCCAGCACTGCTTGTTGACATATACGGCGCAGTATATTTCTTTATACAAAGGAGCCTATGCATTCAATGCATTGTTGAGAGAGGGTTTGTTTTCAAAGCCTGACCCCAAACCTGAACTCCGCGGATCCTGCGTTTCTCAAGATCAAACGCGAGAAAACGTGACCAATGCAAACAAGAAATAAACCTTGATAATTATAGCCGTGTGCTGGGGCGGCTATTGTTTAGTGCAGACGAGTACCCGCTTTAGCATAAACATAACCCTATTTTTAAAGGGATGCCTGACCGGCTTACAACATTACACCCCCATTTCGCCTCCAAACCCCCTCTTTGATAGAAAAGCACCTTCCCGGGAACGGAGAGGAGATTTAGGAGCAGAGCCAAAAGGTTAAGTGACGCGCCCATGCCGAATGCCGGTGTTGGAGCAGGCAGCAGGTCCTCATCCCCTCAACCTGCTCCCGGTTGGTGGGGGATGAGGGGGACCTTGGGGTCCGGCTGTTGCTCGCAGCTGGCAGGAACAGACGGACGTCGGAGGACAAACAGACAGCGTCGGTCTTTTCAGGAAGGCCATATCACTTAGCGCTTGGAAAGGAGCTACAATATTTTCCTGATTATGTTTGCACGCAAACGAGCGCCGCGGGGAAATTATGCAACCCGGAGCGGGGAGGGGTGGGAGCGAGGGAGGAAGGGCTGGAGGGGGGGCCCCACGCTGCACCCCGCTGCCCTCGGCCCCCAGACAGCTGCAGCTGCAGCCCCCGAGGTACCGCGCTCCCCGTCGCAGATGGGGTCCGTCACCGCCACCTCTCCCCTTCGCCGCCGGCGTCTGCCGGAGCCCCTGCACCGCCACCTCCGAGGCAGCACTCGGCCGGCGTGTCGCAGGGGTTATTAACGGCCTCTTCATTAAGCACCCGGACCAAAATGCATATATTCGTCACCCAGGCAATTTAATTACCGAGCCCGGGTTCACCTCACACACCCACACGCCTTTCTTTTTCGAGGCCTCTGTGTGGTCATAGCCATAAATAAATAGATCGCAGGAGCGAGAGGCAGATGCTGACTCCTACAACCTCTGTCTTGGGCACGGAGCCTTTAAACCACCAGAACTCGGAGTATTTAATTTCTTTTGTTACCGCTTCTACCTTTAGAGCTCTGCCTTAGGCTTTCTAGATACGATCACAGGGAGCAGGAAACCGAGAGCTACACGATGAGCTTCCTGGGGATCACACGCACACACACACACACACACTCATACGGCCCATCAATCACCCTAATTACAGCCGGCCACACGTCCACAGCTCTCTGCAGCACTCCGTTACTGCCCATAATTACACGATCGCATCGTTTCTCCGGTAACAGTATCGCCAAGTTAATTCACGATCTGCAGACGCGGCGCATCTCGTAATGCATTTCATCCTAGCGCGCTCATCGCCACGATTGCCAGCCGTGCACCAGCTGAGCAGAGGGAACGCGGGCAACGCTGGTCCCCAAAATAAGACTTTTCAGGTCCTCACGTGCCCACCCAGCACTGCCTCTCTCCGCAGCACGCTCCCTCTTCGGTTTCTTACTGCTGCCCACGTCCCATCCCGAGTCAGGACATCACCACGAGCAGGTTCCCTCAATGCCAAGTGCTCGTCTCTACCTGACAGATAAAAGCAAGGTGGGCCATGGGTGTCCATCGTGGGGATGGGTAAGATCTTCTCGGGGAGGATACCAAGAGCTGGGATGAGGCCGAGCCTCACGACACCGATGTCCATCACAGACCCGCTGGGACCGCCACCCAGGCTGATGTCCCTCTGCCAAGTCTACTTAAACAGTGGGGTCTTTGCAGTGGGAAACGTCCCTTTTCTCCGCGTCAACACTAAACGGTGTCGATCCCGGCTGATCCCGTAGGTCCCACCAAAACACAACTGGGTGCAGTTTGTGGGTCTTGCTATTCATGGATACGAACTACTCGAGACCCTGCACCGCCCTCGGTGTGACCGTGCAGGCAGCGCTGCCAGACCTGGCCTACGTAGCCTTCCCCAGTCAATGGATGCGACTTGGAGGAAGCGTGTCGGCGAGGCAGATGTTCTCCTGCAGCCGCCCCCCCCGAGCACCATCCGGCAGATTAAGGCAGACGGACATGGAGCTTGAAAAACCCGTATCGAAATAACAATAATAATAATAAAAAATAAAGGGGGTGGCTCACGCACATCAGCTGATTCACCAGTGTGGCTCTCCTTACCCCAAAACACACCAGGCAGGACAAGCTAAGGGCACGCTTTTCAGATGAATTACTTTTAATTGAGTACATCGGAGCTTAGAAACACATGATGCTGTTGCAGATAAATATAGCCACGGCTATGAGGATGGAGGGGGGCAGGGAGCAATCGCGGTTCAACGCATCCGAGAAGCTTCCAGCCCCGCCGCCTCCTCCTCGGTGTGCTCCGGGAGGCAGAGCCGGCCGAGCCGCCGCACCTTCCCCCCCAAATCCCGTTCCCCGGGGCTGACAAACCCCAAGCTGGTGGCCCAAGCAACCCCCGCTCGTCCTGCCCGGCCCGGGAAGGGACCGGGAACCCCGTACCTGTTTTAAACTCCAGCGCGGGGTCCTTCTCCCCCTCGCCCAGGTCACTCTGCAGCATCATGTAGAGGATCCCGATGGAGTTGTGGATGCCGAAGATGGAACCGTTGCACCAGGCGGCGGCGAAGACCACCACCCAGCCGAAACCACCCTCCG